GTCAGCGAGATACAAGAAATCTCGTCGAAAGCGCAATGGCATCATGTTAGATCGGAACTAAATCCTGCCGATATGCTGTCTAGAGGAGTGGGACCTGAGAAGATAAATAACCGAGAGCTATGGTGGGAGGGCCCAGCATGGTTACAGGAAGAGATCGAATATCCGAGAGATTCGAAATCTTTATCAGAACCTCCCGAAAAAAGACTGATGTCGTTGAGCGTCGAAGTGGAAACGGAATGGGACATCTGTTACCGATACTCGTCATTAAAACGATTAAAAATGGTTATCGCGTACTGCCGGCGATTTACACACAATTGCAAAAAATCTACTAGTAGACGGTCCGGGGAAATCACGGTGAGAGAATTAGAAGAGGCAATGAAGATTATAGTAAGGAATCATCAGAAGAAATATTTTACGAGAGAAATAAAAGCGATGCAGTCTAGGAGTCCGATCTCGAAGAAAAGTCGATTGCTGCCACTTAACCCGTTCATAGACGAAGAGGGGTTGTTGCGGGTGGGAGGACGTTTGAGAAATGCCCCGATATCATATTCACAAAAATTTCCGGTGATTCTCGAAACTTATGATCATTTAACAGAATTAATAATTAGAGATTCACATTTGAAAGCTCTGCACGCAGGTCCCGAAGCGCTTTTAGGTATAATTCGAGAGAGATATTGGATCGTGTCAGGTAAATCGGCCATTTGGAAGGTTTTGCGGAAATGTATAACTTTAGGTTTAATTGTAAAAGCCCGCAAGAAATAATGGGAAATCTACCGCGAGATAGAGTGACCCCGAGTAGAGCGTTTTTAAATGTCGGTGTCGATTATGGCGGGCCATTTAATATTAAGATTTCGCAAAATAAAACCGCCAAGGCATATTTGTGTTTATTTGTATGTTTTTCGACGCGCGCCCTTCATTTGGAGTTAGTTAGCGATTTGAGTACTGCGGCCTTTTTGAATTCACTACGACGTTTTATTGCGAGAAGAGGAAAGTGTTCAAATATTTATTCAGACAATGGTACAAACTTTGTAGGAGCAAACCGCGAACTGCAAGAGTTGCAGAAATTATTACAAAATCAAGATCATCAACACCAAATTAACGAGTTTACACAATGAGTGAACAATCGATTCAGTGGCATTTTTTGCCTCCATACACTCCACATATGGGAGGATTATGGGAGGCAGGCATAAAATCAGCAAAAACACGATTGAAGAAAGTCCTGGGAGAGGCGCTTCTTACTTTTGAGGAATCTTACACTCTTCTTACGGAAGTAGAAGCGTGTTTGAATTCGAGGCCGTTGATGCCTATGTCGAGCGATCCTTCAGATCTTACAGCGTTGACCCCGGGGCATTTTTTAATCGGAGAACCGTTAAATGCAGTGCAACAGATAGATATGACAGAGATGCCGACAAATAGGTTAACCCGCTACCAACTTTTAATCAAATTGCAACAACATTTTTGGACTCGTTGGAGCCAAGAATATTTGTCACAATTACAGTCGCGGTCTAAATGGAGAAGCCCCTCTTCCGATCAGGAAAGAGTGAAGCTAGGCGATATGGTGGTCTTGAAAGAAAATAATATAATTCCTCTTAAGTGGAAACTA